CGAATTTATGAAACACCATAAATTCGCTCATAAAACTGTCCTTAAAGTAAATTGTGTTTGTGCTGTTGCGTAAAAAAAGAGTTTTTTTTTTAAATTATTTTTGTTGATTTTAAGATTTGTATTATTTTTATGATAACACCAAGAGCAGTATCTATTGTTTCTTGTAATGGAATGTTTATAAATAAACTTGAGATATCAAAACATATAAAAATACTGTTAAATAGGTTCGGATCTTTAACTTTTTTAACAATGGTGTATTCTTTAGTAAAAATATCAGAGGGTATTAATTGAGATATTAAATCATGAAAAAATATAGCCAAATGGTAGTAATAAGTGCTAATATATAATACAATCGGTAAGTTGCGTTTCTCTAATATTAGTGATTTTTTTTTTTTTTAACTGGTTAAATTTAATTGTATAACAATAATAATAATAACTATCTGTAAGCAACCCGTAATACGGGTTAGTAGTAATAAATCATTACTAACAATTTGATATTTATTTACTTTCTCTAATAAAATATAAATTTATTTATACAGAAAGGAACCCGTAATACGGGTTAGTAGTAAATAAATCATTACTAACAATTTGATCTTTATTTACTTTCTCTAATGAAATATAAATTTATTTATACATTTTTTTAGTTGAGCTCACTTTTATTTTTCTTGGTTTCTTAGTTTAAGAGAACTCTTAGCTTCATTAAAGATAAAGTTAACCATTTCTTTTGCAATGTTCAGACATTGAATGCGCAAATCACAACCATGTAGTAATTAAAAGTGACTTGAATTATATGCACAGAACATCGATGTCAAATTTTCAAGTTCCGTAAAATTGTTTAGGTAAATATTGGGAATATATTCTACTCTCAATTTTGCTTTAAGCTGAGTCGTTTCTTTTTTTTTAAACTTTTTATTTTACTGAGTAAAGAGCTTAAAAATATGTCACTATCGCACCTAAACTTTTTAGTGTTATTAATGTACTTTTTAAATATTTTTAAAACATCTGAAAATATTACACCAAAACTTGCAGGCATAGAAGTTGGATATCCGGAAAAACTATAAGTTGAAAAATATATCGCATTTCCAAAAAAGGCTTAGCCCTGCATACGGATCCTATATTATTATGATAAAGATTATTATTAAACCAACCTTTTTATAATTAGTAATCCAGCAGAAACTTGTTTATAAAAAAATAATAAAGGAATATATGGATTTACTTTAATAGCTAACCTGTATCAACATATTTATTTCAGCATACATCCAATCCATATTTATACTAATTTTATAAAATGTCCGGAATACATTTTGCCTTATCTTGGCGTTAAATTATTATTTTTATTTCATTAATTTTTGTATAGATCTGGTTAATAATAAAATAAATTGGATTTTACTCAATATTTTTGAAGTAATTATTCAGCTTTAATAAAATTGATAAAATCATATAAGACAGTTAAAAAATATATTTAAAGCTTTGTTCACTTTTTGAAAATCCGTAAAAAAGCAAGTATCAAGTTTACATATCTTTAAAAGAAACTTATTTACATGATATATAGTTAAATATGTAGCAAAAATATTTTAAAACAGAGACATATATAAAACACATTTTTCTTAAAAAAACTAAGTTGAAGCCACCATTTACAGCACCGAGGAGCCAAGCATAGCCTATTGTAAAGAAAACCATATCAAATAATTTAAAATATTTATTACCGATAGGGACGACAATTAAACATATTTAGAAAGCTACGTGATTCCATATTAGTAGGATTGTTATAAAAAAGTATATTAAAAAAGTATATTTAAAAAAAAGTGTATTAAATAGAAAACAGATTTTTAAAAACTGCCTAATTTTGTTAGCATTTTGCTAATGGTGTTCAATTTTGAAACCATTATCTTGAATTGGAAAGCCGACTTGTTTAACTAATCTCATTCAAAGAATAAAATTATTGACACTTAAAGAAAAAGAAAAAATGAATGAGATATTAACAATCGTACTATAGTATTATATAGATAAGTAGATATATATGAAAAAAAAAACAACTTTATCAGTTTTCGTTTTGAGCTTTATAAGTTGTTTAGATTCAATTGTTGCGTTTATTGATTTAAATGCATCAACAATCGTTTTTTTGCCTTTATTTTTAGCATTTGCTGTGTTTAAATGTTTTGATGCATTAATTCCAAAAATTATAAGACTATTTTCTTGTTTTGTTCTTTCTTTTGTTTTGGCAGCAACAACATTTATAACATGTCTTTCTTTTAAATGGTATATATATATATATATATATATATATATATATATATATATATATATATATATATATATATATATATATATATATATATATATATATATATACATACATATATATATATATATATATATATATATATATATATATATATATATATATATATATATATATATATATATATACATATATATATATATATATATATATATATAATATATATATATATATATATATATATAAATTGGCTAGATATAGTAGTTGAGTCTGTAAATTACCAGAGCCGTCATTCGTTTTTAAATTAATTTGAAGATTTCATTAATGATATCTAATTAAATAAAATATCTTTTACCATTTAAAAGAAAGAAAATTCAAAAATATCTTTTTTATACATAACTTAATGAAAGTCAAACAGTTCGACAATAAACTTAAATTTTTAAAAAAAAAAACCTGTACTGAAAAAACCTGTACTTTTATTAAAAAAAAAACCTGTACTAAATATACCAACTTTTACAGCTTTTCTTCGTTTTCATATAAAATAAGTCTCAAAAAACTTTTCAATTGATCAAAGTTTCAAAATTAACTATACTGTCTTTGGTCTTGGGTTTGATATTCACAATCTTTTTAGAAATCTCAAACCTAATATGTACCCATTTTGGATAATAGAAAAAATCCTCAATCAACTCTTACTAAAATACAGGTATTTATGATGTTCTAATACCGTCTGAAGAATAAGAAAATTTTTGCAATTTAAACACCCTTAAGTTGATCAAATATCTAAACAAACAAAGCAAAGATTACACGCAATAATCAAAAGACGTTGTAAGTCGGTTACCGACAAAGCAAAATTGGTATTTATTTTGTTTAAAGTAACTAACACTTTTGCATTTAAAGATCACTTTCTTGTAGATTTTAAATCCTTCGCTCTTTACAAATTTGTATATGTATTAAATTACAAATATTATACAGTCATGGAAATGCTTTTGAGGGTTTGAATTTCAAAATATTAAAGAACTTACTCCTACTACAAACAACACGAGATGTGTCTTCAACAATAAGATAAAAATAGATCAGAGAACTACGCAAAGTTGTTTTTTTGAAATTTGAAATATCATCTCAGTGCTTTTCAACTGTTAGCAATAGGTAATGTCTGTATTTTTTCTTTTTAATTTTTTCAGCAAAGATTATTATAAGTTTGACTGCTCTCTAAGTAAATTCATTAATGATTCTTTAATTGTGAACAAACATAGCAGCTTTGTTATATGCTGCATCAGTCACCCATTGTGTCGGTGGCAAGTTTATCTAACTGTTATTGACACGCAAGGGCCTGAATAGCTGCCGAGACTTTACGCCAATCAAAGAAGACAGCTGTGATGGTAAAGAAGTTTATGCTGTGAAAATATTAGCAGTTACTTTTAAAGACAGCTAGTGACATTGTCATTAAGAATAACTAAATACTCCAGGCTGTAACCAGTGTACACCATGAGATGGTTTTTTTTCCAAAAGAATCAGTAAGAGTTTTGCATTTTACCCATAATGTCACGAGCATTGCATCTTATAATGCATCATCAGACTCAGGAACAGACAGCAGTTAACGATAAAGGGCAATTGCTAGCCATATAGTCAATAGTCAAATCATATAGTCATAATCAAATAGTCAAAGCATATAGTCATAGTCAAATAGTCAAGATTGTTAAGCCATTTGTATGTCAATCGCTGAACAAGTGAGTCCTAATTCTGTTAAAAGTCTTTAAATTCAACTTATTGGAAAAAGCAGATTTTCTTTTACTCTACAACAGAATTCGTGGTTGCTAACGTGTTATCATGTCTGTCTCATTTGCCACACTTGTCAAACCTTTTTTCTGGTAAATCAATAGAACTGCTGTCAGTACTTTATTATCTTGATTGAGGACCTGAGGATTCACCAATCGGTAAAAACAGGATTGCTAGCTTTGTTATTAATCCATTTCCTACCTCAATAAGATCTTATTTCTTTTCAATTTTGGCTCTACCTCTCTTGTGTACATCTTGTCTTCTACACACGGACACGGTTTTTTGAACTTAGAGAGCACTCAAGAACTCAATATCTTCGCCCTTCATATTTTAATATAAATTCTAGTGCTTTCTATTTCTGTTTGGATTCTTAGAGTGCTATCAAAAAGTTCTGTTTTATCTATTCGCAAAAATTTTTTCTTTTCCTTTTTTTGATTTGCCTCTTTTCGCCTGTAGTATCTTATAGTTATCATAAACGTCAAGAATCTTTACTTTTACCTTGTATTTACGTTGTATCTCTATGTCGGTTTCAGTCCATTGCTGATGAATTTAAATAAGAACTTTCTACTATAGCAACATAACAACTGCTTTTAGCGCTTCCTAAATCCATCTTCCGATTAAAAGAACAAGATAATATTATATCCTTTTGTAGGGACTCTGCAAGCTGGCAATTCCAATATGCGCTTTCCTACCAGCCAAGTATTATCATTCCTCAGAGCCATGGAAAAGTAACTACACTAATTCATTTCTTTTATTAATTAATAAGCTATCAAATTCACAATATTATCTATTAAATTTAAGTTTGTAACATTTTTAATTGCATAAACGGCAACAAGAAGTATGCCTTTGGCCATTTGTTACTTATAATTACCTTAGCGCATGAAACTATTTCAATATATATATATTATGTTTTCATATAAATTATAGTATTAATTGTTATTCCTAATATATGTTATAATTAATGAATAGCTATTAATTATAGGAGGTGAAAAGCTATAATTCCTATTTATCGGTAAGTTTTGAAGAATTTATGTTGCATTAATATTTTGTTTACAATTGAATAGAGATAATTTTAATCAAATAGTTTTCTAACGGTTTTGTTGCTTTTAATGTTAATTTTTAATTCCTTTGGTTAAAAGGAATTATTGAACAATGATCAATATCAAATGATTGGATTTTATGTAAGTAAATTTTTTATTTAGTTTTTTTAGTATTTTAACAAAAATAAACAAAAATTATACAATTTTGACATAACAATAACTTTGCAATAAGTAAATATTCACAAAAATAGTAAAAAAAAAATTAAATAACTTTTTGTTTACCATAGGAAAATCAACAACCATAAACAAATAATTATCACAAGAACTTAATTATTACAAACATCATAAATTATTTATTCATAAAAACATAATTTTAATAAATTACTAAATTTCTTTAACTTCTTATAAATATAAATGTTAAATTATCATAAACGCCTATTAATAATTTTTTAATAACATTTAACTAATATTAAAATGACTACGCAGAAGTGGTGTAGTGGTAAATTATTTGCATTATAAGTTTTAACTCATCACATAGCGGTCTTCTACAACATGTTCGATTCATGTTTTAGAGTAATTGAGATAAGTAACAATAGAAAAATTGTAAGATAAGAATAAATATTAACTAAAGAAAAAAGAACTAATACCACCTTGATCATTGTAGCCCCTCGACTCTTGGAAAGGTAAATTCCTATTTTTTTAAAAAGGAGAAAAATAAATCACTTCTATGTATAAGACTTGTTTGTATGATCTTTAATATTGTTAATAAATATTATTTTGATTGTTGTTTAACAAATTGAAGATTGCGCTATTGTGATAAAAATTACTAAAAAACTTCTAAGATAATGAGTGAGAACCATATTTTACTAAGTAAAAAATGATTCTCATTCATTCTTTAGTTTCAAACAATTTGTATCATTTACAAAGAACAACAACAACAACAACAACAACAAGCTATTTATTTTCCATTTCAAAATCATTTTTAGAATAATAAAGTAAATAATTATAACAATAATTATAAAATAATAAGCAATAGTAATAAATTATAACAACAACAATAATAATAACTTAGAAAAAAAAAATAATAACAATAATAATTACTATAATAATAAGTAAATTGATATGTTATTTCTTATTATAATAAATTAATGATTAGTATGATTGGTGTCATTCATACAGAAGTCTGATCAAAGGAGTGGCACCATTTTTCAAAATAATATGACTAATAATAAACATATAGACATAAAATACAAAACACAGACACACATTAAGTAAACTTTTTAAAAATCATATATGTAGGTAATAAAATAAGAGAAAAGAAAAACAAACAAAAAATAAGTATAATTATTATAGTAACAGAAAAAAAAATTATAAGAATACATTTTTCAGATATTTTTAAATTGATTTTAATTAAGATAAGAAAAGATGACAACGGAGTTTGGAGTTGAAATTTATTGTGAACTAATTCACAATGCACACAAGGCTCTTGTTCCATCCACAAATGCACTGATACACAACAGCATTCTTGACATACTTTTGAGTTTTATATGATGGTACAATAAGTTTTTCATTTATTTATAAATAATGTATAAATTAGTCTACTTTCTATATAAAAAATTTGCGATAGAAGAAGATAAATTTTTATTTAGAGAATTAAAAACAAAAAAAAGATTAGCAAACTTTACTAGCAAATAAAAGGTTAGAATTTTAAGTTTTTTAAAAGAATCTGATGTATCTGATTTCAAAGATTACAAGTTTATTATTCTAATGGATTGGCGTTGAGATGACATTAGTTTGTTAATATGATAGTTGCCAGTTTGACCCCAAACTTTGCAGCAGTAACTATAATGAGATAAAAATAATGCATAGTAAATATTTAAAAGAGTAACTTTAAATTCGACTTAATGTCGAATTACTGAAAGCATACCGTTTGCACAATTAAGTTTCTTGCGCAGCTCATTTATATGGAAGTTCCATGAAAAATTGCAATCAATTAACACACCAAGATATTTAATAACTCTCAAAACCAATAACTTACAACTCTACGAATTCCATAATGTTCTAACTTAGTAACCAACATGCTACCATCAGCGGTATCGAAAGCTTTTTGTAAATCGATTAAAACACCACAAGTAAAATGACCAGTATCAAGAGCTTTTCTTTTTTTTTCAGTTATACTTATCAGTGCCTGTCAGATAGAATAGTTTGATTGAAAACCAAATTGAAACTCATTTAAACAGTTAAAAGAGTTTAAAAAAGAGAACATTCTAGAATACATTAACTTTTCAAGAAGCTTAGTAATGTTAGATAAAAGAGAAATAGGTGTATAGTTAGTACATAAAAGTTTAGAGCCGTTTTTGAAAATTGGAATAATATAAGATAATTTTAAAATATCAGGAAAAGTTCCACTCACGAATAAGGTATTAAATAGTTTAGAGAAATTATTTGAAAATTCGATAGTACTAGATAGGATTAGACTATGTGAGTTTGAATATTTAAGATACTTTTGATAGTTGACGTAAGACAAATGAATATTGGATTTAAGTTTATGAGCAACACTTGTAAAAAAAAGTTAAACTTTTCAAAGGTTAGAGTCGGTTCAGTTAAATATCTTTCATTATCTTGTAAACAGTTGGGAGATGAACTGTTATAGTTTTTGACATTTATTAGATTAATAATGCCTTTCCAAATTTCGCGAAGATTTATTATATTATCTAAAAATAAATTTTTAAAATGGATTTTTTTGCTAAGTTTAATTAAAGTAATTATCATGAATTTATATTGTTTTAAAATAGTTTTAAATATGATTATATTTATGAAATCTTTTGATCTTAACATTTTTTTTGAAAAAAATTGCATATTTGAATAGACTTGATGATTCCTTTGTAATCCATGGTTTAAATCGACGCTTGAAGAACTTAATATTAGTCTTTTTGAGTGAGGCATAGCAATCCAAAATCGATGTTGTTTCAGTAATAAACTTATGGAAACAAGAGTTAGTGTCACTATATTTTATAACTTCATTCCAATCACACATTAAAAAGTCCTATCTATACTTCTCTTTATCAAAGTTTTTAAAATTTTTACAACATATTTTGTGACTTCGCGGTATAAATAATTTGTTGAAATTGGGACAAATGCAAAATTGAGGTAGGTGATCAGAGACAGAGGTTGTCAAATTTTCAGAAATAATATCATTAGTTATTAAATCAGAAAAAATATTTTCAATAATTTTAGCAGAGTGTTCAGTATTTCTAGTTGGCAAAGTAAAAAAAGGGCGAATATTATAAATAGAAAGTAAGTTTTAAAAATCACAGGTCGCAATGTCATTACTTGATTATATCAAATTTATATTAAAATTACCCAATAAGAAAGAAGATTTGTTTTCTGCAGGTATTTTTAGAAGTAATGCAGAAATTATATTATTAAAAATATTTATGTCCGTGCAAGGGTGTTTATAAATGCACCCAACGAAAATATTGGATTTTTTAGAAAAACTTAATTGAACAAAAGTGAATTCTAAAAAGTTAAGTAAATAAATCATCAAATTATTTTTTCATTTGTATATTAACTTTTTTGACAAGTATAACAATGGACCCCCCTAGGAAGATTCAGTTGGTGTATGCTCAATGTTGTAGTTATTAATGAGAATCGGATGAATTAAGTCAATTTCTTTTTTTAAACGTGTTTCAGTAACAGCAATAATAGAAAACTCAAAATTAATTAATAACAAAAATAAGTTTAAACCCTCAAAATCATTTTGCAGCGATGAAATATTTAAGTGATAAAAAGAAAGTGCGTTTATTTTGTCAAACTTCAGGGAACAAAATTTGTCTATGTCATAATATTTACAACTTATGTCTAGTGATGCATAGATTTATTTATCGGAATCTAAAACATGAGATAAAACATAGTCATTAATTTGGTTAAAAATTTTATTCAAATGTAACGATGGAAAGATGTCTTTAGAAGGAGGTAATTCATCAGTTATAAAAATTTTATTACAAGAAAATAATAATTTAAGTTCATTATCTGGTACATCTGTGAATGGAAATATACTCTTAGTAGAATTTACACAATATTGCATTGAACGACCTAATTGTAAAAAATTAAACCCAGAATCATTTAGCCTGTTGCATTTTGAATGAGTCCAAAATAAAAAATTCTCACATTAAATTAATCGGCAACTTTGACTTATTTTTTTTTTACACAAATAACAATTTAAATCCATAGTAGAACAATGAAAATGAGTAATTTCTGCATTAGAATAAAGAATGTAAGAGATATTATGTCGGAAGTTAAAATAGTAGATATGGTTATAATAATCGTAAAAAGCAAACAATAACAGTAGGTATGATTAATAGGAAAAATAGCAAATTAACTTGAAACAAAAACAGTTATAAAAAGTAAAATTAACGATGATGTTATTAACAATAACACAATGATCGAACAAAATTTTGATTAAAATTATGTGATTTAAATAAAGAAAAATTATGATTTAAATAAATAAAAAATTTGATAAAGTTTAACAGAAATGTAAATTAATAATAGAGTAATAACTTAACTATATACAAATAATTTAACTATATGCATACTTAACTGTATTTAACTATAAATAAATAATTTAAATATATTTGTTATATAAAATAATGTAGACAAATAAATAAACTGAAAACTAAGTTGTTAAAGAATGATGTAAATATATATTATGAAATAGTAAAATGAATAAATAATAATCTATTATAAAAAAAATATTAAATACAAATAATAATTAAATAAAAATAAAAAAATAATAACTACAACTAGGGTAAGTACAAAAATATTTCTAATATTTAATCTTTTCTTTCTTCTCTTCCACTTTTTTTTTAGTTTCTTCTGTTTTATTTTTTCTTATCTTTTTCTTTTCTTTTTTCTTTTAGTTAAATTTAGATAATTAAAAATTCGAAATTTTTTGGCTAATCTTTTTCAAGTTTTTATGACGTAAACTCTCTCTAAAATTTCTTTCTTTTTAAAAATGAAATAAATAATAACGTTTTTTGAAAAAGAAATAAAATAATCTTTAGAAACATATAGATATGTCATTAAAAATGTTTAAATAAGAACAAAATAAGTTAAGCCAAAATTAAAGCATATTTTAAATTTTGGTAGATAGAGTAATGTCAGTTAACATGTATTAAGATTATCTTATCAGATTTTGCTGCTTTAACTTTAGACTTTAATGTTAGTTATCCATTTATTCCAATAGACGCATTCTTAGCCTGAGCATAAACTTATTTATCAACTTACTTATGAGCTCTTAAGTCGATTTCTAAATCACTTGCGGTAGTGGTGTAGTGGTAGAGCGCTCGCTTCATAAACGAGTGGTTCCGAGTTCAATCCCCACCACGTCCCTGGTAGTACCGCACTCAACTCGTTTTTCCGCACAGCGGCCATGTTCATCAATGTTTGTGTTTCGGAGTTATAGAATTGAGAGAGGGTTATAACCACAAATAAGTAGCCTTCTCGTCTGTAGTGGCCTTCTCGGCCTTGAGGAAGTGAATTAAATAAAAAAAAAATTAAAAAAAAACTTGATTAAGAGATCTAAAATTCTTAGCTATATAGTTTTATTTATTTTTATACAATAAGGTTTGAATTGTTGTGCTGTTTTTTTATGTGGTTCCGTTTTTCACATTTATTCAATTAATTGCTTTTCTCATTTTTTATATTTAATTGCTTTTTTACATCTAAAACTAAAATTTTTTCTAATCATATAAAAAAGTCTTATTTATTTATTTTTTAACTAGTTATGGTGTTGTTGATAATTTTAACGTTCGCCTTGTTAAAACTGATCCAACTAACTTATCAGGGTTCATCTCTAGTTAAAAACCCTAAACCTAGCCTTGACCCTAACCCTAACCCTAAACCTAACTTTGTGATTAGTTTTTCAGAGAACCCTAATCACTAACCTTCATTTTTTAATATGTATTTCATGTTTGACCGTACCATTTGTTAGGTTTTTCTTGCCTTTCTTTAGTTGATTTAAAAATACAATGATCTTACAAAAACTTTTATTGTGTATTTTTTGTACTGCATGAACTTCTACATCATTGCACTTCTTACTTTTATGTTTTGGCTGATTGGAATTTTGATCACTTTCTTAATGATGATCAATAGGCTGTTGTCTTTTGTTTCTGCATAAAACTATATCTCCTTACCAACCTTCTTGATGTAGGCAGACATGAAAGCTTTTATTCTGTTTTGTTGGTTTGAAGTCATGTCTTTTTCTATTTCATAGTTTTCTTTATGCTATTATTTTGATTCTTTATGAATCAATATAATAGCATAAAGAAAAGCAGCTAAGCAACTTTAAAGTACTCTTCAACAAAAATATTTATATTTTTCTTGAAGAGTTCATTAAAATTGCTTAGCTTTATTTAATAAAGATTAAAACTAAATGTAGGTCTTAGTAAATAAAGTTAATTTGAGTTTATAACGTTAAAGTGATGGCTAGTGTCTTCTTAAACAAGCTTTGCCGTAATTATACTGTAATATCATTCAAAATAATTTACAGGTTTTTCTGTATGGAGGTATTTGTAACACCTCATATTTTTATACTTTAATTTTTTTTTCGATTACACCTAGCTTACTTTTGACTATCAATCAAATGGGAAAAATATAGAAAACTCAATGTATTTGTTCTCTGTAGATGTATTTTTGTATGGTAAGATTTTTGTATATTATAGTTTATATTTCAGTGTAAATATACATATATATATATATATATATATATATATATATATATATATATATATATATATATATATATATATATATATATATATATATATATATATATATATATATATATATATATATATATATATGTATATATATATATATATATATATATATATATATATATATATATATATATATATATATATATATATATATATATATATATATATATATATATATATTCTGTCTTCAACATCGTGTTTCACCACTGGTGGTGAAACACGATGTTGAAGACAGCTAAAATTTAGACAAGTGTTTTTACTATATATATTTGGTTAAGCGCCAAACCAGGATACACAACAAATTGAAGAATATTAGTTTTTATTATTAAAATGACTTACATATTATTTCTTTGCAAGCCAGAATAAACAATAATTAGAATATTTAAATGCACTGTGCAGCAAATACTTTTAGTTATTTGGCATATCGGCTTTTGCTAAAATATTTGAAGCCACATAAGCCTATCCGCATACAAAACGGCGTTAAACGAGTTTTCTAACAAATCACTATCTTCAAATTATTTCAGTATGTACTTCAGGCGCGGACAGGGGCTGAAAATTCTACAAGGGCGGGAAAAAGATAAAAAATAGGTTTTGTTGGGGGTGGTTAGCTTTGGACCGTGTGGTGTAACTGGTATTTATAATGTATTTAATTACAATTTCTCAACATAATTTGTAGAAGCAACATTCTTGATAACTCTTAACACAAGAATTGAATCTTAACACAAATGGCCATTTACGTCAAAAACTGCAATTAAATCCAAATTGTCCTTCTTGGTTGACATTTACATTAATGTCTTAAGTATGACAAGTTGTCTTACTAACCCTGTAGGGAACTTACTTAGTAAAATTTTTTACTTAGCAGCTTAGTTTTGACAAATTTTAGTTTATTAATTGCCCGTTTGCAGCTCATGTGAAATAGATATTTTTATACCTAAAACAAATTTGAATAAACGGTTGTATTCAAGAAATGTTCGTATAAAATACTTTAGTAACATTTTAAAAATTTTAATCAAGATCATACATAGCGTTCAAACTTCTGAAAATTTTAATCTTTTTTTTATTTTTGAATGTAGCTTTTTTAAAGTATCCAACTATGAAAATGAATTAGACTCTTCTGAAACACTGTTGCTAGGACTTCCTCAAATTCATCTTGTAGTGTTTTTTAGAGCCCATCAAAACTTATTAAAAAGCTATGCAATTTACATAATGTTAGAAAGAAAATTAGTTTGCTAAGAAGTTTGAAAATTGCAAAAGAACATAAAATGATTCCATTTGTGAAGCAATATAAATTCCAAGAATTAGTTCAAGCGCCACCTGTTTTGACCACCAGCGTGTTTTACTAATTTTTTGTAGTTTTTTTTTGATTTGCATATTCAATTGGTTGTCCAGTGAGAACATTAATTTCCAAACATTCATTTGTTGGCGAGAATGGGCAAAGTAATTTGCTGTGCAAAAGATCAATAAAGTTTCTGACATCTTGTATGTTTCCCACAATATCTGTTGCGGAAAAATTCAGAACGTACGTGTAACACCACCTGTATACAGCATTTAGTGAAACGATAATGTTTTTTTTTTTAATGTTTATAAAAATGCAATTATTTTTTTTGGTAATAGTAATATTCTTAATGTAACGTTGATTTTCTTAATAATCACAACGCAAGTTTGCTGCTTTTTCAAAAGTATTTATAAACAATTCTTTTTTCAAACCATTGCGTTCATTAAAGAAACTCAACAATAAACAAAAACATGCATGTAGAATAGTATTTGGAGCCGACAGAAATGTTCCTTGCGAACCACTTCTAAGTGTGCTCGGTGCTTTAAATGTATATAAACTCAATTTACACCAAGTTTTATTGTTTATGTTTAAAACAAAAAAGGAATTGTCTCCTAAAATATTTCAATCTTATTTTAATAAAATTAACCATAGGTACTCAACAAAGTTTTCATAAAACAATTTTGTTGTTCCAAAACATAAATTAAAATTAACTTCCTATTCAATTAAATACCGCGGACCTTATCTGTGGAAGAAATTTCCAGATATTGTTAACAAAAAGCAGACTACATTAGAGCAATTTAAGGATGAATCAAAACGATTATTATTGTTCATGGATCTCAATAAATCCGACTTTAAATGTTTTTTTTAAAGTAAACACAATAAAAAAAAATAAAAAAAACAGATTCAATTATATCAATGATATATGATAATATGAATAAGAAAAGAAAGAAAAAGGAAAAAAAGAAAAAAAAAAAAAAGAATAAGAAATCCAAGTGATGATGTCACAAGTGATGATGTCATAAGTGATGATGTTACATAATCATTTAGTGTTAATTATGAGATTTTATTTTTTCAATTTCTTTTATACTCAGGAATTTTTTTTTTTTTTTTTTTTATATTAACTTATTTCTTAAACATTTTTGCAACTGTTAAGCATCTTAACGCTTCTTAATTAATTCTTATTTTTTATTTTTTTTTATTATATTAGTTATTTTCTATTTCATTTCTAATTGTTTCTTTTATATATATATTTGTATGTTACGGTTATGTAGAATTTTTAATGGGGCTCGGCGATAAGGCGAAATGTGCCTTCTTCTTGCTCCAGCCATCAATTTATATAAATGTATATGCAATGTAAACTTTTTTTAACGGCGAAATAAATTACACTAAAAAAAAAAAAAAAAAAAAAAAATTAGTTGGTATAGTCCTAGTTATTATAGTTGGTATAATCTGATTTCAATAGGCGTATATCTTACTTCCATAAATTTCTTTACAGCAAACAACCGCTTTTCTTACCTCAAGATTATCTTCTCTTGATTAATCACCAACGTGTCTAGACTAGGGTTGAAAATTTCCCGGAAATTTTGAAGTCGGGAAAATTTCCGGAAAATTTCCTGAAATTTTGGAAATTTTGGAAATTTTCAAATACTTGTTAAAAAAAAAAAATTCAGGGTATAGTCTGATTAATTTTATATGTTTATTTTATATGATTCTGATTAATTTTATATGTTTACCATAATTTTACTGTTTAAATAAAGAAGGTTTATATAAATAAACTAATAAATTTCAGAAATAAATACCTAGGTATTCACTAATAATATTAGTAAGTAGTTCTAAAGTAAATCTAATGGTAATAATGGTAAAAATAATAATTACAACAACAACAATTATTATAACAATGGTGATGATGATGATGATGATGATGATGATGATGATGATGATGATGATGATGATGATGATGATGATTATAAAAATATGATTATGAATTAAAATACTAACAGCTTTTTTAAATAAAATAGATAAGTAAATAACTTATTTACTTATTTATTTTATACAATATTATGAATTGGTAAAAGTGCAATATTATTAATTTTTTGGTGTATAACTTTATAGTATTTTAGGTAGTATTAAAACTTTATAATATTATAGATGCATAACTTTATAGTATCTGAAATGATTGCTACACAAACATTCCTTTTTGACATTTTTTAATGATTTATATAAAGCTGTCAACCTAAACCAAAGAATAGGTGATACAAGAGAAACAACAAATAACTTGCCATTATATATGTTATATAATTAAATAAGTTTTTTACTCTTTTTGAAATAATAACAATAAAAACATTACAAAAATACTTTATAGGTATATTAGTACTATAGCTATAATGATAATAATGTTGAATATAAATTATTTATTAGATTGCAATAATTTATATTCAACATTAATAAATTAATGTTGAATATAAATTATTTATTAGATTTGCAGTCGGTATGAACTGCTTTTCTAAACTAAGTATACATTTTAAATTATTCTCATTTATTTTTGTACTGTAAAAATTTTTTTAGCAACAATTATGCCTAGAGAATTAGATCAAGTCTGGCATGGTCACTTTAAAAAAAAAAATATGTCAATAATGGAAAAGAGCATTTATTTGCACAAATTTGCAATGCAAAATTTTGCACACAAAACTCTACACGAGCTAAAAAACATTTAGTTACAGATTATACTAAATCTCCTAAAGCTGTAAAAAAAAATGTTTGCAACAGATGTTATGTAACAAAGTTTTGCTCCTAAAACAAAAAACGGAATATTATTAGTTAAATCTTTAATTGAACTCAACACAAATACAACAAATAATGCAGGTGTGTCAGATTTAATAATAGAAAATGATTGTTTTATTGATTGCTGTGACAACAATTATGCCATCTTTAAGAGAAAGTCAGGAACCAGTTCCACAATGAATGTGGCTAATAACGAATTACATTCTGATTTACAAGAATGTTCTTCTGATTTACAAGAATGTTCAAATATATTAGAAGAAAAAAAGGCTTTCTGTTCAACTTCTATATATACTAGCAATCAAAAATCAATATCATATTTTTTTGATAAAGTTTCAACACAAGAGTGTGATGAAATAAATATACAATATGCAAGAGCAATTTATGCAACAGCCAGTCCTTTCAGAATGTCGGAAAACTCATTTTGGACTAATTTAAAAAGATTCGACCAGGTTGGTCACCTCCCAATTGTTATGCCCTGAGTCATAATCTTTTAGACACAGTATATAACAAAGTAAATAAATTCATACAAGATTTAATATCCCAGTCAGAAACTTTTGTTCTGATAACAGATGGTTGGTCTTGTATAAGTAATGATTCACATATACAGATTATGTTAGCTACTCCAACTCCAATATACATCAGAAGTATTCATCCAAAAGAAAACTCCCACACTGGACAATACATATTCAATCAAATTGTTGAGATTATTGAAGATAAAAATAATATATCAAACAAAAGAAAAAGAAAAGCTTTTTGCACTGACAATGCAGCTAACATGGTAACAGTTTGAAAATTAATAGAAAACAAATATGATTGGATGTCAGCATATGGCTGTTTTTCTCATGGCCTAAATTTATTAGCTTG